GGTTCAGCTGGAGTCTTCTGTAACTGTTGGCAGAGGGCTTCTCTGTACGTGTACAGAAAGGGCTTGTCTTTCCTTTGCCGAAATGAAATATGCCTTTTGATCTCCTAGTCCTGAAGACAACACAGGCTGAAATCATTTTACACTGCTACTGAGCAGAGATAAAGAAAAAAAAAAAGAGGAGGGGACGGAGCTACTTCATGTAACATATGCTCCTTCTCTATCATCGCTCTAATGGGGGAGCTCCTGAGGAATATATACGCCACATGTTAAACCAGAAATAAATCAGGTGATGCAGCCCAAGACCATTTACACGGGGCTTTTCACAACACACAGAAATCCACCCAGTCTGGGACAGAGCGCAGAGCCTGCTTGAGGCTTTACTGGCTCCAAACCTGCAAGAAAATGCGGTATTTTGTTTGGCATTCCAGCTTGTTCTTTGACTCTGCACCGAAAGGACTTTTGGGGAACAAAGAGGGGCTTCTTCTAGCATCTCTTTGCTGAAGCTCCAGAAAAAGGGCACAACAAGGATCTTTGGGCATTTACTTACTCCTTCTTGCTGCAAGGAATTGGTATTTGGGCACAACAGAACGAAAGTTTAGGCCTTCAGCAACGCTGCTAAAACATCTGCTTTGCAAAGCAGTGGCCTCCGCCACCACAGAAACCCTGCTGGGGAGTAAAGTGAGGAGCCGACAGGAAGGTTTCTGGTACAAGACAGCAGACTGTGGTTTGAGGTCTGGGCAGCCTCTCTGTCCTAAACTACCCACCTGATGTCTCCGCGAGGGAAAAAATAAAAAACCTCTGAACAGTAAGGCTTAAGTGTCAGCCGCTTCCAAAAGTTCCTCCTGACAGAGGGCAAACTATCTCTTGTCAATGTAGAGCACATCCTCCAGATCAGCTTTTCCCCTAGAGTAACGCCTCAGCTTCCTTGGAGGAACTACGTGACACTCCTCATAAACCTCCCGGAAAGGGAAGACGAGGCTACAGCACAGAGAAAGACAGAGACACCAACTCAGCCTGAGAAAGCCCATTAGTGCTAATGACAGCATTAGCTGGTCGGATTTGTAACGCTGACAGAACGCGCTGCTCATCTGTAAAGATACAGAAATAAAACCACCAGCAGCCTGCGAATTCTCACGGGACAACTGAGGAGACAAGTGCAGGGAGGAGTACAGCACGTTTTTTTTCCTACTGTGCCTGCCTACGAATGTAGAAATCCAAGGCTCAGAGCAAAACTGGCGAGCCTGAAATGCGCAAGTTTTACTTGTGTCACTGTCCTGGATTCATCCCTGTGCTGAGCTTGCAGAAGCCTGAGCGAATTGCTCACCCCTCTTCTCCCGGTTCAGGAATTAAAGTTTCCCAAAATTCCTTCCACAGGAATATCATCAAGGCACTAAATCTTGTTTTACGGCGCACCCGGGTCTTTTTCAACTGCCACATGCTGGCAGGTAAGACCAGCTCTAATCTGTTTTGTTGCTGAGAGTTCAGGCACACGATCGTGTTCGGGATTACAGGGGATCAACGCAGCGGGATGCCTGAGGAGATGGCCCCAGCACCCCCCGCAGACTGCAGTTCCGCTCCTCCCACCTTAACGCTGGCTAACAGAGAGGTAACTCCTGCCACTGCCTGACCCGGGAACTAAAAAACCATGTAGTCACACAACCAGATACGGGTTTGGCTGGTCGGGTGTGCTCCCCTCTCAGATGCTGTGGCTGCACTGGCATGTAACCCTCCTCTCCTCCTCTAGCTAGATCAAAAGTCAGCACCCACACAGATAGAGCAGCACTGGCATTTTTCATCAACAGGCAGCACAATTCACAGAAAGCTAGCACACCGTTTGAAGCAGGGGCTAGCAAATCCCATCTTCCTTTTCCTCCGCTTTGCTCGAGATGGGCCACTAACATCATGGAGAATTTCTCACCGATGTGCAGGTGACTTTACTAATGCCAGTGCAGCAAGGCTTCATACTCCCACTGCAAAGCCCAGTTCCATTAGGACAGTGAGTTCAGCTTTACGTCTCAAGAGAAGATGAAACTCACAACAAATAAATTTTCTTTAACACTCAAATTGCCTACCTGCAATTTAAAATTAGGATCCAAGGATTACTGTTGCATTGGGCTGCTGAAATCAGCACTGTGAATCTATCAGTTAACAAGAATTACTCTTTTTGGCTAAGTTTAAAAAATGCACATATGTGTCGTACTGGTTAGCACAAGGGCTTGTATGTGAGGAAACCGGCACTGTTAACGTGGTTTGTTGAAAAGCCAATCTTTCCACCTCTTAACAGTCCACCATTAAGTGTCCTGGCAAACACTATTTTGCTACATTCAGACAAATAGTTCTCATTTTTTCTAGTTACTCTGTAACCCTCATTTTTCTAGTTTTAACTCTAAACCTCATTTTTCTAGTTATTCTCTGCCCCTGCTTCGGTGCATGATAAAAAGCAGCGCTTTTACACCTTATTAAAAAAGCTGAGATTCTGGCACAGCTGCACACCAACATGCCAACGATGAAAATGGAGGAGCCACCTGAAAGCAGGTAACAGCAACCTGTCCGGATTACCGACAGTGATTAACCAGCATGCTGCATGCTGATGCACCTATACCTCGAGCTGACAGAACAGGCAACTCCGCCGGACGTTTGAACCTCAGCATCAGTTCTGCTTGCTAGAGATGCACGTTACACACCAACTACGGGAACTGCAGTTACACATAACTTGCTTTGCCGTCTGAATTGCCTCGAGACCTACATTTTGTTGCATCATCACTGCTCAAAAAAGCGGTTTCTGAACTTGTATTGCTTAAGTCACACAAGCAAACATTCTGCAGAAACATCTCCTGCCTATCGGGATGCCCTGCATTAAGGTGGGAGAGTTGCTCCTACGCCGCTTTAGCAGTTTGCTAAAGAGATAGGAATCTACGGCTCTGGGATGTGCCAGGGGCGGAAATGAAGAAGGGACCTTTTCTACAAAAATCTCTAAAGTGTAGCATCAGCACACAAAGCACAACAGATTTAACAATCTCATACACAGCCTAATCCTAAAAATCACAATCTTGATGAAACTCCTACGGGAGTAAGAAACTACCAACCAGCTGTGCTGCAGAAACTCAAAGCTGCAAGTTGCTCAATACTGAACTTAATTTCACAACTTGTTTTCAAGCTGCAAGGATAGTTTTTTCTTACTGTTTTATGAACTATAAGAGGTCCTATCCCAACCCTGGGCAGCCCTTGCAAACAGAAGGTTTAAGCGTTGACATTGGTAAGGTGGAGTTGGTGGTTTTTCTGTATACTCCACATTTGGGATTCAGCTCAATGCATTTTTTTCCCCTCACATAAGCCTTTAGAAACTGCAGGGTGAAACCAGATTTTTTTTAGCCCCATTAATTCCACAGGACTTGTATCTCAGAAAAGAAAATTTCTTAAAAGGTATGAGAGGGACATCAAGTGAAACAAGATTTCTCAGAAGGGCTTAAAATAATTTTTCATATTTGTATTTTTGTAATTTTCCATCACTTTTACTACTTTATCTCTTTTTTTCCCTCACTCGTTGTTGAGCAACAGATGCACAAAAAAGGAAAACAGAGAACACAACTACTTGCAAAATACTGCCAAGTGTATGGAACAAATGTACTAAATGTGAAAACAGCAATTTTGCTTTCTCTTAAATTCAAAGCACATAAATTGTGCAAGGCTGTGTGTCTGCTGCTTCCACATTCTCAGAGACAAGCCTCATCTCTCACCCTTGGGTGCATCTGTCCCGGAACATGCAAACGTTTTCTACACAGCACTGGCTCGACCAAGCGCATCAGATTATCGCCTAACTGCCCGGCACATCAACCCGCAACTCCTTTCCTGCACATTTTGATTGTACCTTTTTAATCAGGGCTTTTCCTTATCAGCTCTCTTACACCGAGTAAGTGTCCTGCACCTCCAAAGAGGGTCAGAGCCTGTGTCGAACGGGACTAACGTGCAGGCAGGACCCATGTGGAAGCACAGCCAGCTCGTGGCTTGATGTGCTGACTCAGGGCTGACTCAGCCACATACTGAATCACCTCTGCCACATCCTGCAGCACCTGGGATTTTCTTTGGGAGCCTCCCAAGTGACACTACCCAAGCTTTTAAGCTTTCACTGCAAACGGAACACAATACAGAGTGGGTACAGGCAAACAGTGAGCTTTTAAAAGGTTTCTGATGGAAACTTGAGAGAGAGTGAGAGAGGCAAAAAAGAAATTCAGTGAGTGCTGGCCCTGACCCAAAAGAGCATCTGCCTTGTGCCCAGAAGAAGACACAAACAAAGTTGCTACGTAGCAACTGCAACAAGTCAGATGAGGCAGTAAGCACGCTGACTGAACTCCCTAACGAGACTTCTAAGCGCTAACGCCTTCGGGGAAAAAATCCTCTCCATCCGTGCTCCACAGAGGCCACGTGTACTGAGCTAGCTGCTGCTTCTCTTCCCAGGCATCACAAACTTGAGCTCCAACTCAGTACTAAATTCAGACTGGCTGAGAGCTCAGAAATTAGGTGCAGACCAATCCACAAGGATTGCTAAAAAACAGGCGCAATAATGATTTTTTTGAAATACTGAAACTCTGAATGAGAAGGACCAACAAACTAAATAGTCAAACAGAGAGTTTAAGTGCCCTGGGTTAGGATTTGGGTTGGTGAGCAGAGCCAGCACCCAAATAACCACCTACCGAGTTTCAGGGGATGCTGGAACAAACTCTTCCTCCCTGTTTAACCCGAAGGCCGAGGCAGCTTGTGGGCCTCAGCAGAGGGAAGGTGCCTGGGGAGGGGGGAGCGAGGGTGGGAAGGGAGGCAGGCAGTTGCACATTCTCACCTGAGGCCGCTGTAGCGTTTGTAGGGGTTGAAGCAGCTGCTTGGTTCCGGGCATGAGCAGGGATGAGGATCGAAGCCAGAGATGGGTTACTTGACAGTTCTGGAGGGGAGGTGGAACAAACAGTTAGCTCATCGTCCACGAAGAGCCCCACATGCAGGCTTGGGTTTCCCTCCCACCTCGTACAGGCAACCTTGCAGCCAAAGGTCAAGTCAAGTTTCCTTCTTTGTCAACCAGCGAGAGGAAACCGCAGCGACACTTGGGCAAGGCAGTCTCCAGAACACAACCATCAAAACTACAAGTAGTGGTGCAAGGGTATTATTCCCTAGAGAAAGACAGCAGCTTTGGAGTCACCAAAGAACCAGCCAAATCTGTCCTTATCAACGGCCTGATAATGCCTTTTCCTTCTGAGCACCGAGTTCTTTGGCTCACTCAAGCCATCACTTTCTCGAGGACCCAGGAACCCAAGACCAATCTCTCACAGAGAGTTGTCTTGAGCGAGGCCAAGAACAGGTGACATCTCCTTTAAAAGCACAGGGGAATACAAAGGGAACTGGTCTGCTGGGCAACTTAAATGGACAACAAAACAACACATGCATTCTTTCTGAAGACGTTAATCAAGGGAAAAATAGTCACGTCTTTTAGGCTCCAAATCGAATATAGCTTCAATGCATACTGGAACGAGAAACAAGCATCTTGCAGCCACAACTGCGGGAGGATTAAGGGCAACACATTGCCAACAGATTACAAACTTCTGGAAGGCACTAGATTCTCTTGAAAGAGCACCAGAAGGTGGGACTAAGCCGAGACAAGACAGGTCCTGTTTGTTTCAGAAACAGGAGTGACTGTCTCTCTCTTGAGAAAGCAATATCTGATAAAAACGATGTGAACAGTCACCTCATGGAAGGAGACTGACGGCTTCTGGAGCACCAGGAGGTCATCTGGAGATGACAACCGACAGCTTTTTAAGTAAGACCTCCAAGACAGCAAGGGCTGTACAGAAACCCATCCAAATCATGCCATGAGTTCAGTAAGTGGGTCTTGTATGTGGTATTCAATTATTTCAGTTCATTTTTAAGAACCTATTGCTTTTCTTTAACACAAGCTTTAAATTTAGGGCCTAAAAGGATCAGCAGTGTAATTGGTGATTTTTTTTCCCCCCTCCATTAAGTTACATTTCTTTACTGCTGAGAAGGCAAGATGCAGAGAACTCTCACCTGCTCACAAGTCTCTTACTACTAAACACTTTGAGACTGCGTTTCAGCACTTACGAACACAAGCTCTGGTCTAGAATCAAACAGAAGTTGCTCCACTACCTGCAACAGAACCACTCTATCTTGTAATAATCATTGATACCTAAGCAAACCTAGTTGGTCCTTCTAGAAGGCCTCAATATTCACAGCAGTTGTACAAATACTAATCGTCCAATTCATATGGGAATAATTCAGAATTAATATATTCCTACTATAATTCAGAATTAATGTCTCTATTTTGAATGGGAAAATAAACTGAAGAAACATGAATCCTCTAGTGTCAAAGCTGAACATCAGTGATAAAACTATACTTCAATATGCTCTTGGGCATTAGCTGCTCCCTGACAGAAAACGTTGCTCCTTTTCCACAGCTGTTTCTGAAATCTGCTATTACTGGGAACCTGCTGCTTACATTGGTACTTTGAAAGTCTCTATCCTCCCCATATTATTTTCTACTCATCACTGGCAGCAATACGGGGCTGTGACCCAAACAAAAGTAAACCTAAACTGTCAAGGAAACCAAATGACATTTGCAACCTTGCAGCGCTAAGCGGCACCTCAAGGACTCAGCTACAGGCTGCCCGCGTCGCTGCAGCCGAAGAACCAGGTGGTCTGACAGAACAACATCCTTGCAACGGCACTTCGACCCCACTCTCATTCCTCCCATATGTTCATGTAACACTGCCAGGGCACCTGCTTTCCCAGCACCAATTATGGCAAGCACACCATTTTTTGGTTGTTTTTTTAAGGTTAAGTGCAACCATTTCCCTGAAGCTACCTTCGAGAACTTGCATAGAGACTAGAAGAGTGATCTTGTTCACTTCTCAAACGCTGCATTATTTTTCTTGGTATGAAGTTTCTTAAATTCAGCATCTTCTGAATGTCTTGATGCTTCACTTAGAAAAGAAACAAAACAAGCCGACAAGAAATATCTGGAGTAAATTGAGCTCTTCTGGCTGAAGTTCAATAGCAGCTTCGCTTGAGACTTTGTTTGAATTTTTGTTCTATTGTGTTTTTGCAACTATCCTGTCTGTAAGGATGAGATGTGTCAACACGAAGACAAAAAGTTTGACCTGTGGTATCTGTGGTCTATGAAGTATTGAGAAACTCGGTTCTCAGTGATTTCCAATGCAATATTTGGACAAGCTATTGAACTGCAGCCTGCTTATCTAAATCGTACTTGCAATTTAAGGCTGGGTTAATTACAACCAATACTGCTGGCAAGAAGGTATTTCTCATCAAGGCAATCCAGACAAAGTCTTCAACACCATGATGTGAACAGAGCAGCTATTTCCCAATTCATTTACGAGACCCAACTTCCATTCACAAAAGCTAGGAGAACACCTTTGGCTTTCTCCTGTTCCTGTCATTTGCAGCCAGTTTACATCTCTATAAGGAGCAGAAATGAACATGTCCAGTTTTACTAGAACACCAGATCATTTTCATTCCCCAAAAGCAAGAAAATGCTTGGTGATGGGAAACAGTGCAAGTGTGCTCTTTTCAGTATCATCACACTTGATATATCAACACTCCCAGAATCCCCTGGAAAAATGGGTCTTGCATCATGTTTGCTTTGTCACAATGACAAGCTTCTCATGTAACTCAAATTACTCCAGCAGTTTCACCTCAACCTAGAAAAGTGCTGGAAACAGCACAAGTTTCATCAATTTTCCTTTCTAACCCCCTCCACATGCTCTGAGCAGAAATACTTAATCTAAAAAAACTAAAACAACCAAACAACCCTAGATGGCACTCAAATGGTCACACTAAGGATTTCTGGTCACATTGAAACAGTTTGGTTGGAAATATACACATGTATAAGGGTCACAAACCAGGGTCATTTTAAAAAAAAAAAAGACACCAAAACTGCCTGACATTTTAGCAAAAAAAGTAATTTGCCATGATAACCATTCCTACGTGCTGAATCATAGAAGAATTTTACAGTCTTTAATGGCCAACATAGTGACAGTAACATTTGTTAACCAGCACAATCACTGACACGTAACAAGTAGATCAGGAGATGGTAGTCATTTCACATATTGTTTGAAAATTCAGCTGCTAAGGATAAAAAATTACTGTCTGTCTTGCAGGTCTAACAGCCACTGAACTGCATCTCTGTGGCTAGTGGAGATATCTCCTTGGCCAAAGTAATTTTTTCAAACCCCAGACAGCCTATAAGATTGTTTAAATATTAGGAGAAACTTACAGGCAAGACATTAAGAATGACCAGATAAAGCTTTTGGACAGATCTCATCTCTACAATAAACACCTACATGCCCTACAACTACTGCAGGCAGCCAAAGACCATGATCTTTACCTTCCACATATACTCTCACTGTTTTTCTCTAGACTTTATCTGAGCAGCATCAGTGCCCAGATCAGCAGATTTGCTGTGATGCCTAGGTTCTTTCTGAAAATCAATCCAATGCAATTAATGATCACATTTTATGTTGTCACTTCTAACAATTTTGCCTTCAAGCATTCTGCAGTCACCTCCTACTTCATGGGTTTCAGGCACCTGGACATAGCCAAATAAAACACTTCTAAAACTTAATATTGTCTGTTGAAAAGAAATGCCGTTCAAAACAAAAGGATGTCTTTCATTACTTTTTTAATTACCATGGATGACTTCACATGAGTTGTCATCTGATTTCCAATGACCTGATCTATCTCGCAGCTGGGATTTCTGCTCTGGACTAGCCAATCTGATAGGACCTTGCACAGTCTGGCTAAAGAGCGAGGACCACACAGTGGTTACAGGAGGAGCAAAAGCTTCTTGTGTATCTTGAGGTCGTAATGAGGACTGCTGCTACATGAGACTCACTGCTGCACATAATTATTAATTACAAAGGTCTTAAAATCAACGTGCTAAGCAACGTACTTATTTAAAAAAAGCCTCTGGGTGTTTTTTTGAGATGTATTAAGATACTGGGATCAAAACTACCTTAGCTACTGAAGATGAACTGGAAGAAAAGGCAATTCTTGAGTACTGTAAGAAGGGAGGGCCTGTAACACAAGTACTACATTCATAACAACAGGTGCAGGAATCGGCACAGAGGACAGTGACCTGAAAGCATGAGCTATCTTCTTGGATGCTTTAAGGTGTTCGTGCTTCAGAAATCTTTTCATATATTCAATATATTTACCTTCTGCAAGACAGCCACTCAAAGCAAATTAAAAGTTGATTTCTAGGCAGCTTAAATCACTACTTTGTACAGACACAAATTCTTTCGGCTTACTTTACCCTGCCCTTTTATTTTTTAATTTTTTTTTAAGAAAGGCCTCCACATGTTGAAATAGAGGACTGTTTCATATTTTGGCAGATGGGCACTGCATGCACTAAAGTGTTTGAAAAATGACACTGATGCTAACTGAGCCAAAAGGTGTTTTAGACTTTCAAGAGAAAACACACACAGATCTATTCTTGCTCAAAGGGTGAGAACTGGCAGCTAATCACTACCAAAAAAAAAAAAGAAAAGGAAAGAAAAGAAAAAAATGACCCAAAATTAATTCTTAGCATGTTTAGAGGACATAATTCCCAAATTGTCTGTCTTGGCAGGCAAAATGGTTCTAGAGGGAATATCAGTTTTACATTTCTGACTTCTGGGACAAAAAAACCCAAAACAACACAGTTTTAAAATTTGATACCACTCTGGCTTCAGATTAAAAAAAGTTAGTTGCCTGCAATTTTTACAGTCGATGTAATGGCAGATGAACTTTACAGCACGTAAGACCTGGACACTAAAGCCTCTGCATTCATCTCGCATTCAGAACCAAAACAGGCAGCAGCATTACAAACGTCCCTGCCAAACCCAATATGCATTACTCCTTGCTACGGTGTTTCAGGTAGAGGGAGAAGGATCATCTCCAAACTGATAATCTCATCTCCACGGTCCACTGATTGTGGTATTTCACACTAAACCATGAGCTGAGTTGCAGGATCTTGAACTGCAAACATAAGCCTTCTTAGTGCAATAGTAACCACCCTCGGTACCCTGCACGACATTTGAATCAAAGGCATCAGGTGTCTGAAAATCCTGTAATCCATTTCCCCAAGTCCCTTTCCTCTCTTTTTGAAAATGACAGCTGGTTACACAACCGCTTCATAACCTCAGTCCTACTGAGGGACGGATACTTGCATCACAACAAGCATTTATCTTCCTAACGAAGGGATCCTTCAACGCTTGCGGGCTACCTTGAGTGGTGAAATTGAAGAGTGCAGGTTTCTCTCGCCCATTTGGTAACTTGACATTTGGGTCCCGTAGTTCATCGAAGAAAGAGTGCGCACAGGCCTCCAGGGGAGTCAGGCGGGCAGTGGGGGTGTACTCCAACAGACGGCTACATAGCGCAATTGCTTCTGGTGGAGTGCGGGGCCGGAAGACCTAAAAAACATGAAAACAAAACAAAAACAAGAAGCAAGGAGAAACAGGTTGTCTGGGTATGTTCCTTTTCTTTGCTGACCAGAAGCAAGTCAGAGCAATTAAACCTCTCATTGCCCAACAAGCTGGAACAAAACTTGTGGCTCGTGCTAATCACAGTCCTCCAGTAAGTATATGGGAAAATCCAGTTCCTGGGGTTGAGAAAGGGTTAATTGCAATGTCTTGCGCTGGAGTGAAGGTGCAATGCCAGCAAGAGACTTCATGAGAGCGCACTCAGAAAAACAACTTTAAGAATGAAGGGGAAATTAATTCAAAAGATCATGACGAACACACACAGGTGCTACCAGCCATGCATATGGGGTGGAGTGAAGGTGACGAGGAGGGTTCAAATGAGCAGGATTCACTGAACGTCAAAATTGAATAAGGCCCCACTACAGTTTTGGGTTGGTTTGGTTTTGTTTTCTTCTTTTTTTTGGCTAGTGAATGAAGTCTTACTAACATGGACTTCTGCAGGCAGGCAGGTCAGATTGTTGCTATGGAGGCTGCTATTCAACTTTGGAGAACAACAAGGAAAGCACGGGTGGGGTGCAGGAAATGTCTAGCTCTAATTTGCAAGTTACTCCTTCCGTGACCTTATTCTGGCAAGCCATTTCCATAAGTTTATTGGGATAATTCCTGCACATTTGGTATTTGTAAGGACAGCTGAAAATTGCATCAAGAGAACCAACTATTTTACTCTGAACAGATTTTTACCTTGAGTGATTACAAAACAAGTTCTTCACTGCAGCTTTGTTTTAAACCCCCAGGAATGGTTCTACCCACCACTAATCACACCCCATCCTCCTTTCTCATTACGTCAAAAGCAAAATACGAGTTAATCACGTACATGACCTGGATGGCCTCCTCAAGCACTTACTTGCCTCTCGCTATGTTGCAGGTGATACACAGGCTGGGGAAAAGGGAGTGGGGTGGGTGTGAGCGTTAAGTTCTGATGCCAGCATTTTTGGAACGAATTGAGCTAAACCAAAATGCTTTTTGCACCAGCACAGGTGAACCCAAGCCACACAGCACCAAAGAGAAAAATAAATAAATAAAAATTAAACAAAATCACTGCACCACATGCTAATTAATCACAGATGAGGAACTTGCACAGGCACCCCTTAAGTAGGTTTTAAACCAAAGACATATATGCTCTCCTAAATGAGAATTATAGAATGGTTTGGGTTGGAAAAGACCTTAAAGATCACCTAGTTCCAACCCCTCTGCCATGGGCAGGGACACCTCCCACTATAATCAGATACAAACGCTAAATTCTCCAGGGACTGAAATTTTATGCCCTTGGCACCCAGCTGGCTCAGGAGCATATGGGTTTGCTGCAGTGAGTGCTGGACTAACTGACCTGTGTGGCAGGGAATCCTGACTCGGGGACCAAAGAGACAGAATTTATTCCTGCTTGTGAGTTATTGCGAAACAAACCAGAAAAGGTTTTTGCACAAGGCCTATAATGACAAAAAGAAAGGCTTCAGCTTTCTACTGCTGGCAGAGAACTTCTGCCGACCACCACGCCGTGAACGTACGGTCACGTGCAGGGGCAGCAGAAGCTGCAAGTATTGCTCCCAAGTCACGGCCTGACTACAACAGAATCTAAGGCTGCCTCCAATTAAAAAGCACAAAATGAAACACAACAATTTTTTTTTTTTCTTTTTACCCCATGGTAAGGAGCACAAATGGGCATGTCTTGAGGTAAATCCACAGAAGTGGAGTTGCTTGGTATTGAACATGAGGTAAAACCACTCAGGTCTCCTCGTGCACCTTCGCACTGTTTTTTTTTTTTTAATAGGCTTGATTTACCACAGCTTGAGACTGGAGTACTTCACTCTCAGTTGTGTTTTTCCCTCAGGACAGCTCACATATCATTTACTACACAGATTCTAAAAAAGAAAAAAAAATTGTATTTTTTTTTCCTTAAGGCAAAGACAACAAGCCCTTATCTTTAGCAAATTAGCAGGCAGGCAGTCTCAAATCTGCCATCTGTAAAAGGAGTACTCACTTGTCCACTCTTAAAACTCCTACTTTTCAAGTCAGCAAAACCCTAACATCTGTTTCCTCAACTCCACTGAGAACTGCTCAGCTTGCCTGAGGCAGGCAGTTCCTGAAGTCTGCCCTAACTGCTTTCAAACCAGGGAGGGGAAAAAGAATAATTAAAAAAAACAAAGAACAAGAAAATAAGGCCTCACAAAGCCTCCCCCTGCAACAAGGGGTGACTAACACATGAAGCGAGTTACAGGCCTGTGCCCATCTCATCTCTACCACCTTGTGTTACAACATTGGCCTGGCTGCTGCCTCAGGGATGTGGTTCGAACTCAAAATATTCCACTTTTAGCACTTCTTTCCATTTTTTCAAGGCTAGGCCTAGTAATTTGAAAAAATGTTTAAGTACATACCCGTACTCCTGAGGTGAAATGTCCTGTTCCTGACGAGTCCTAAAGATGATAATGCAGTGAAATAATCCAAACAGGGGGAGTCAATCCAAAAGAGAATAGTCCAGCAAGGAAAAATATAGCCAATATTATAAGAAATCCATGGTGTGGGGGACATAGAAAATGTTTATACAATTAGAAACTTTAAACATCAGTCTCCATAGCAGCAAGTCCAACTTCACCACAGTGTATGCCAAAAAAATCGATTGTGCAATGGTGAGGCATAGTATAGAAACATCTCTATATTAAATTTATGTTCCAATGCCAGTGCATTTACTAAAAAAATAAAAAAAATTGAAATCAAAACTCTAACTTGAACTAAAAGGGTAATTGAGATTCCCATTATAAAGAATTTTCAGTCTTTGGTCCTGAAACTTCCACAGACACGGGGCCAGATTAATTTGTCCCCAAAGGAGCATCCCACTTGTAAATCTGTCCCAGAGACACGCAATGTAAACTTTTGGGTGGGTTTGTATAATTTTTTTTTTTTCCAAAAAACCCACCCCCCTAGCAATTTATAATTGGTGCTGAAAAGAAAGTAAAAATCCGAGATCTGTACTTTGAATTTGGATGCTTTTAATTTGCGTGAGCTACGAGTGCCTCAGGCCGCCGCGGATTATTCTTCATTTTGGATTGACTTCCCCCGCCACTGGATTTTGTTGGCTGGCGTTATCTCTTTAGGATTCTTCAGGATCTGGACGTACCACCTCAGGAGTGCGGGTATGGACTCAATTTCTCTCTATTATGGGTTTATTCCCCCTCATACCTGTCGCACCCGTTTCTTAAGAAAAGAATTTTCTACCCCTCAATTTGTCACCTCCCACCTCCCTTTTGAATAATGCCCTAAGTTAAAAAAAAAAAAAAAAAAAAAAGCAAAACCCCCTGCAGTCTGTTTTTTTCCCATTCAACGTAGTTCCGCCGGGAAAGCTGCTCAATTCGCCCACCAAGAACTACACGAGCGGCTTGCTGCCCGCGGCAACCGTAACGCCGCCGGCACTTCCATGCCACGGGGCGCCAACGCCGAGGCAATACCGGGCGGGCGCTCCGTGGTGGGAAGGGGCAGGAGGACGGACGGACAGCGGGACTCGCGAGCCGTGAAAAGCCCCCCACGCGTACAGCTCGGCGGGAACTTAAGGGTCTCTGTAGTTCTCAGTGAGGGAATCGATTTAGTAAATAATCCGCGGGTTATTTTTAGTCTGCGGACTAAAATTCAGTGCACGGACTAAAATCCGGCCCATCGGAGCAAAATCTGTCTTGGTCTAAAATACATCTGGGTGAAAGCAAAAGGAAAAAAAAAAAGAAAGAAAGAAAAAAGGAGAAAGAAAAAAAAAACCAAGAAAAAAAGCTAAGTGCACAAAGTAAAGTGTTTGGGCAGACTAACATTTAGTATGCAGACTAAATACGGCCGGGCAAAAGGCACAGCAAGTCCACAAACAAAAACCAAAAATAAAACACTGACAGGAACTTTTAAAGCAATCAAATACTACCCCACCGGCGCAGCAATTCATTTTTCTAAAATGAAACAAGACCTCATGTAAGGCTATTTGTCCACAGGAGGGACTGAAGGCTCAAGTTTTCATTTTAAAAAATGAAACTGTTTTGGAGATAAACAAATGCAAAAAAAAGGTTTTACATACAATACTCTTCAAGGAAAATTTGCACTTGCATAACTCAAAACCTCTTGTTTCTGCAAAGCAAATGAATTTCAGGCTGAGACCCAGGTTGCTGGCTTTTTGGTTGGTTGGATTTTATTTTATTTGGATGAGTTAGAAAAATCTGAATGATCACGTCAAATGGAAATGCTGACTCATCCAAATCCAAAGCTTTTGGTGCTTTTGTGGTTTCCTCCCCGCTCCCCTCTTCAGATCCCAATAAATCTATACCCCACCAAAAAAAGCTGAGGGACCAGTGCAAGTTCTTTCTTTGTTCAGGCATGCTGGTGATGCGCAAATACTGACAGACTGTAACAGCTAGATAGCAAGGCCAGACACACTTCTCTCTCCCTTCTAAGCTACGCTGCTACAGATGCAAATCTTTGTGTTTCTCCCCCTTCATTTTTCTGGAACTACCACCTTCTTCAGCGCTTCAAAAACAACTGCCAGGCTTAAATGCCTCTGGTGCACGGTGGCTCTCATTCCCAAGCGACTTCAATTTAAATGAAGTCTTTATCGCACTAGCAGAGCGGTCACATCCTATCTTACTAATTTGAAATAGTTCCTAGCAGAGTGGCGGAGTTCACGCCCCTTCTGAAATTTATTGTATTTTTTTTGCACGCATGGAAAGAGGAAAGGAAAAGGATGGAAAGCACAGGATTCTCCTATTTCATTTCACTCACATCAGCATTCGGCTCTCAAATAAAACCACATGGGGCAAGAGCTAAGTATTGTTTTAACAGAATGGTTGCTCCGACTTTCAGTTCATTGACATTCTTCAAGCAGACTTTCCATGCACAACACGGAGCTCCGTCGTCTTGGTCTAATTAAGCCCCAAAGCCAAACCTTCACAATGTTACACCAAGGTGCT